TTTTTGGGGGTGGGTTCCCCCGGGACTGTTCAAGGATACCCCCCCCCGGAGGCGGAGTGGGAGAATCGAACATCCAAACCTTTGACACTGCAGACAGAGATCTAAACCACTGAGCCATCCAGCAGTTTTATAGAGCTGGCCCACGGCCACCCAGGCTGGCTCTCCTCCCGGGAGGCCCCGCAGGGGAATCGAACTCCCCACCTCTGGCTCTCCAGCCCGAGATCTAAACCACCGAGCGATCTAGCCAGCAAGCATGATATAGAACTACCAAATAATGTTGCTAGTGTTTAAAAACAGGGATCCAAAAATGGGAAAATGACATAAAGCTCACAAAATCGGTAAATTTCAACATATATAAGATGTTTAATAGGTGGCAGATGACTGGGGAAAATTGGTCAAAGATTTATACAGAGGTGTCAAATGTTTGTTGGAAGTGTGAAGCACAAGAGGGAAGCTTCCACCATATGTGGTGGACTTGTAGAGTCACGAAACAGTATTGGATAGCAAGACATACAAAAAATACTGTGTTCTCCTAACCCCAGAATGGTTTTTACTGAGCTCTGTACCAGATAATATAGATAAGAGAAAGAACTACCTAACCTAGTTATTATAGTCACTGCAGCCAGAATTCTTTATGCGAAGAACTGGAAGAAATCGGAGATACCAAAACAAGAGGAACTCATTGAGAAGTTCTGGAAAGCGGCAGAAATGGATATTCTATTCTAAGTGTCGAAAGACTGTCCAATGCAAAAGGCAACTGGATGATGGGATTTATTATACAAATGGCTCGAGTCACCAGTTAGTGCTGGAAGAACATAGAATTAAACTAAGATGTAACTGTAAGTTGAAACCTGTAGGGCAATAAAATGGCAGAAAGGTGGAAAGTCGATATGGCAAGGTGAACAAACAGATTGGATGACAGCATACAGTTATGTTCTCCTTCCCCCACGTCCCCCTCTACCTTTTGTGCTCCTTACCTTATCCCTAGTTTAAAAACAAACACAAAACAAACAACCCAGGGACCCAAAGGTGAATTTCCAGGGCTGCCATACATTAAAGTCTGCTTGTTGCTGTTTAGTCGTTTAGTCGTGTCCGACTCTTCGTGACCTCATGGACCAGAGCACACCAGGCCCTCCTGTCTTCCACTGCCTCCTGGAGTTGGGTCAAAGTCATGTTGGTCGCTTCAGTGACACTGTCCATCCATCTCATCCTCTGTCGTCCCCTTCTCCTCTTGCCTTCACCCTTTCCCAACATTAAGGTCTGCTAGTAAATGATTTTTCCTGTCCCAGGATTAACAGGCTCCCTGCATGTGCCAAGAGATGGCTAACAAATATTCTTTGCAGAGAATGAGTTTCCCAGGGAGAACAGCAAGGGAGCGATTGAGTTGATTGTGATGGTGCACCATAACACCCACAGCATCTGGGAGGAAGCATTTGGTGAGTTGCACACGGAATATAGCCTTCAGTCCTATCGTAGCGGCTTCCCGTAACCCAGCCGTAGGGCCCTATACAGATTATTCTGTTGCTCTTTGTTCAAAGTGCCGTGTTTACCAAGCGCAGAAGGGTCGAGCCAGGATTTATATTCTTAAACCCTCTTTATATTCCTACGTTGGCCATGGTGCCCACATCTTTTCTCTGGCTTCCCCACGACTCTGGATCCTCTGGCTTTACTACGGGAACTGTTTGTGTACAAATCTGACACGGTGTGGCTGTGTCGGTGACAATGTCTTGAGTTGCCAAATGCTCTTTATGATGATGATGAAACCAGTGGCTCCAAAGTTCTGGCTTTAAATCCTCAGCTGAGATATAGATGAAGGTGCCAGACAAACCTTTGTTACCTAATAAATTTCAAGTGTTATCTGTACTTTCCCAGGCATCTGTTTACACACAATTATTACGAAATTGACTCAAGGTAGGCTGGCCCGGTAGCGCAAAAACTTGATGTAAGCCTGGGATAGGCTTTAAATAAAACAAAACAACACAAAAATGAAACCTCAGCATTCGGGAATTGTAGTTTATCCACAAAAAAGCTTTTATAACGTTTCCAAAATTAGGCACAGTGGGGAAAATGTCAAAAACCCCTCTTGTAATCGTAAAACACACAATTACCATCCCAGTATCATTTAACTTACTCCTGTGTGTGTGTATCGCTTTATTAAGGTATATTTCTGGGGCTCTGCTAATATCTTCCATATATGGGGTACCCGAGGTAGGAGTGAAATTTCAATGTATGACGAAAGAGATATAAAAATGATAGGTGCATTATCCTCGAGGCAGGCAGGCAGGGTCAATTCAGAGGACCCTATCTGCTGATATGAAGAACCGTTTTTGCTAGCGCGGTGTAACTAGAAGTCGCAGAGTAGTGGGTGGTGCCTCTCCCTGCCTCCAGAAGGTTTTGCTCAACTCCTCTGGAGTTTGCTAAGTAGACGCTTTCAGAAAAACCTTGCTTGTTCTGGCAAAAGCTGATACGTTTTCAGTTGAGGAGTTTGAGAAGATTCAGGATCTGTTATTTGCACCGCGTTCACCAAGCAGAGAAAGAACATACAAAGTCCTAGTATCTCTCTGGTGCCTCTCCTGCAGCTAGCGCCCCCTTGGGGCCACCACTATCAACTACAGGGACATCTTCAGTCCCAGTAAACAGTCCCCTGTCCAGACCTTGCACGATACTGTCTCTGGGTTTGGGTTGAATTTTGCTGGCTCCGTTCA